AACTGATCTGCATTTTAACTGCCTTTATGTGACAGGCCACATTTTTGTCAACTTCTTGAGTTTAGTATTCTAATGGCTGACAATAAATAAATTTATTAAAATGTCAAAACAAGCACCCACTAAAACATTTGTACAGAAGTCAGGCACTATGCAGATAGAATGTCAAGTTACAAAAAATAAATCTATTGCTTACATGTGCAGGTGCTCCAGCCTTGAAAAATGCTTGAAAAATGATAGGCACTGAAAAAACTTTATCTGTTTATTTGTTTCACTGGTGCTTCCATGATTTCTGTTGCACTTTTTTCTCTACAATGTTATTTTTTCCCACCTCCACCATACTCGAGCTGTAACTTACCCGAGAATGAAGAAGTTTATCTAATTTCAGTTTGCCTCAACACATAAACCAGTGCAATCTAGAAACATCCTGAGCACAATTAAATTTTACTGCAAAGCAGAACTAGGGGGGCTTTTAGAAACCTCAAAGCACTTTACATAGAAATAATACCTACCACAGTATTTAGTAACATTTCTACTACTAAGTCTTCACAGAGAAAAACAGCAACTGCCCTCAAATCACAACACAACTCAGGCCATGTCTAGACTACAAGGATTCACCAGCATAACTATGTAGACACCACACAGAAAAATTCAAACTCTTGGCCAACCTCAATATGTTTACAAAGTCCCACGACAAACAAAAAAGCTGCTGTCAGCGCCAGCCTCATTGTTCAGGCTGAATGGCTCTGGTACCTAGAAAAACAGAGGACTCTTTCTCCTGGCTTGTGCTGTATCAGCATCATGGCCCCTGCCAATGTAGTAACAGAGGCACAGCACCTAACACAGAACTGCTCTACCCAGGAGCAGAATCTCAACCCATTCTCTAACAAGGAACTCATATAGCCTAAGTCACTGGAGTACCTAGAGCTACCAAAACATTTCTGCTTCCCCCATCTGCTCTCAAGGAGACATGAGAAGTCCGAATTTTGGAGCAGAAGACCTGGGATGGGTTGAAAATATGGGTATTTTGCATTTGCCCTGGACCTTGTGGGGAAGGAACTTACTATGTGAAGAGATACTCATTTTTGAAATTAATTCCAAACAGACTTGAGGATGAGCTTGTTTGCAATCGAGTAATAAATGTCAAAACCTAATCCAGGTCTCACAAGAGTTCTGCCTACTACTGCAGAGAATTGGGGCTGGTGACAAATCGATTTGCATGAGATGTCATTTTGACTTGGAAGAAGCTGCCTCTGATATTGGTTATCTTATTTTTTGCTAAAAGAAAGACTTCCTATATTCAGTCTCTCCCAGTTCCCATGAAAGTGCCTGTAAAATTCCTAATTACAACACACACAGGGGCCTAGAGCTCCATTATGTTCCATTTTTTTCCGAGTGCACAGGAAGAAAAGGGCAAAATGCATCAGCAGAGTTTTAACTTGCACCAGTTCATAGCACACTCAAAGGGATTGTTTTGCTAGTGATGAGTTGCTGGAACGCAGTATGCACCTACCAACCCCTCCAGCCTGTGCTCAGAGGAGACCACTTAGAGCAAATGCACGCAGTGATTTCCCAAGTTTGCTATTCAAGCTGGTTCTCTAAAACTCTTGTGTGTTATTTGAACAGTACAAAGCAGCCTCGGTCATGACGCATCTGCACCAGAATTTCCTCCGCAAATCACTACTGAGATCTGTTCCGAAATGGAAGTTATTAGCTCCTTACACTTGTTCCACAATGCAGCAATACAGCACGACAAATGTGGAAAGAGAAAAAGGTACAATAAATTCTGTACTCACAGTTTTTAGAGATGTCCACAATAATGTGCTGGTGTTCTTATTCTCTGAAGTTGCTTGATGCAACCACACTGGCATGTTGCCTTTAAAAATGAGTACTTCAGAGAGTCTGTCTTTTGGTTTGGCTTTTTCTTCTTTTTATGTGACCAAAGACAAGGCCTTAGAAGGAAATATTTCCATATATTCCATGGTCAAGTACTTAGGCTCCAAGACTTTGCAGTACCCCAGGGTGGATATTGTTTATAGACAGTACCTAAATACCTTAGACAGTACTTTTATACTAAAGAGTTCAAGGAAGAATGCTTTTGGTTTGCTGCTTTAAAAACATGTTTTGAAAAAAAAATGTTGAAACACAATGGGTCCAGTAACAGCCCAAAACCTAGGTTCTCCTGAAGGAGGCCAAACACATCTTGAGAAATATGCTGTTTACAGGAAAACCCCAAAACTTCCTTACAGTATCTTACTGCTCGCTATTGGAAACACTCTTGGCTTTCAGCACTATTTTGCATTATGATTTGCACTGCCCTTTGTTTATCCTAATGGCTCCACAGGAACAGAGCAATTATTATTTACATCAAAGCTATGTCCTGTCTCATGCTTTGTCTTCATCAGTACCCAGCAGCAGACACCCCAGAGCACAGTGCTGTTTATTTTTAGAGAGGTCATTGTGCTGGTTTCAGCTGGGATAGAGTTAATTTTTTTTCTTTTCCTTCTCAGTAGCTGGTACACTGCAGTGTTTGGATTCAGAGTGAGAATACTGTTGATAACACACTGATATTTTGGTTTCTGCTAAGTTGTGTTTATCTTAAATCAAGGACATTTTCTTTCTTGTGTCTCATGCTCTGCCAGTGAGAAGGTACACAAGAGAAACTGGGAGGGAGCACAGCCAGGACAGGTGACCTGAACTAGCCAAAGGGATATTCCACACCATAGAACATCATGCCCAGTCTATAAGCAGGAAGGGCTGATCCAGGGGGAGGTTTGGGGTTGTGCTGGTCTGCGGGTGGTGAGCAATTGTATTGTGCATCACTGATTTTGTTTTATTGGTTTTTTTCCCCTTTCACTTTCTTTTTATTATCCATTAGCATTTTAGCTCATTCTGCTCTTTATTATTAAACTGTTCTTATCTCAACCTACATATTTTATTTTATTTTCTCCTCCCCATTCCTCTGGGTTGGGGGGGAAAAGGGGGAGGAGGGAGTATGAGCAGCTTTGTGGTTCTTGGCTGCTGGCTGGGATTAAACCATGACAGTCATCTATGAAATAGCTTAATAGTAAAATCCCCATCTCATTCTACTAGTCACCATTCAACTTTGCCTTGCAGCATTAGAATACATCTGAAACATGTCATTGGAAAAAAAAGGTAACTGTGAAGACTTTCAACCTTACGTCTGAAAACCTGTTTTGGTCCAAACTCATTGCAACCCAGCTACTATGGCTTGAATGCTACCCACAACTCTGAGTGCACAACTGCTAGTGCATGGGTGAAGCAAAAGATGCGTGAGACCATGCTGCTTTCAGACACATGCCACAGGTAATCATGGCTTAGAGTTAATAGCATTTTCTCTCCAAGGCTGGTTTACTATCAGACTGCAAGTTAGCTCAGAGCACTTAGCACACACTGATGCTGTCAGATACAACGTTTATTGATTGATAATTACTCTGCAGGAGAAATAACAGCTCTATCTAGAAGTGATGTTTCTGTTTATTTGTGCTCTGTTACATAAAGTCCCCTGTTAGGTTTCAACGAAAAGGCACCCCCTCTGCTGCAGTGCCTTTGTTTACACATAGGTTTGCCTGAAGAGCAGCAATTCCAGGTTACTCTTCCCAAGAGACCTGAAGGAAAAATAACCCACTGAAGGAGTTCAAAAGCTGATGGCACCTGAAACAGGGACTCTTAGCACTGACAGCCTAAAAGAAACTAAGACATGGCACAGTCCCCAAAGCTTCACCCTCAGTCTACATCCTACCATCTCCA